CGGCATGGCACACTGCATACCAAATTCCTAAGAACCTGAACAGCAGCTGTTATAACCAGAAATAGGGATTTCATTTTAGCAAAAATAACTTCATTAGAACTTCATAAGAGCATTAATTCATGAAATTAATCCAAATGTATTTGACTTGTAGCTGTGTTGATATTTTATTTATATATTTGTTTTGGTTATGTGGTCATATGAGAGCTCTAAGTATAGAGTTTAGACTCATTTAAAACTACTACATATCCAAACTGCATTATAATAAAAATAATTTAAGCAACACTAGGAATCTACAAGAATTTTTTTCCTTTAAAGGAATTCCCATACCACTGTTATTTGAGAAACTGTGGCCTCAGAGTGAGGCTTAAGCTTCATAACAAGACATACGCGGGAGAGTTGATGTTCTCTGACTTTTTCTTCCATCCCAGCCCCCATCCCCTATTTCCCAGCCCTCTCACAATTAGTTCTGACCAATGACCAATGGGCTGTGGACAAAAGCAACACTGCATTCATTCCAGAGGAGCCAGAGAGACACTCTCCCACTATCTCTTCCTGCACTGGTGACTACAGTGGCCACATTTTCCAGATGGCAAGGCTGAAAGCTGGGAGAAGCTCTGTCAACTTGGCTATCAATTGACCTGTGAGGGACACACATTATGTGTGAGAAGTAACCTTTGTTGAGTTAAACTACCAAGATGATGAAGTTGATTTATTACTGCAGCAAAGCTTAGAAAACCCTCCTGACTAATACTGCTTCATGAACTGAGCTCTGCTCCCTGACCAACTACTCCCCATCACACTCTATGCTCCAAACAACTCTTAGTTCAATGACCTGAACACACCAAGCTGTTTCATCATGGCATCCTACTTTTGCACATGCTGTTCCTCAGTCTTAGAATACTATTCCACACACTTTCCTGCCCTCCTCCAATCCCAGACACAGTGATTCATCCATCAAAACCCAGTTCAGATTTAATTACCACCAGGAAGTGTTCCTCCCTTTCTTAACTCTCTTACCTGCCTCTCCATTAGCCTAACGCCACAGAGTGCTCACCTCACCACGTCATAATCATACATTTCTATGTCTAACCCTTCCTTACCCACTCCCCACAATCACGCTGTGGCAGGGGCAGTGATGGGCCAATGGCTTATTCATCTCTACATCCTGAGGGCCAGCATGCAAAAGTAGGCACTATTTGGCCATTTGGCCAGAAAGAATTTCCTCCAGGAGGCTGGTCCTGGGCATTTGAAGGAAGTTGGGTTTGATCCATTACCTACCCAGTAGGAACATCCTACTCAACAGCAGCAATTACTAGCTATCTCTACCCCAGCTCCAGGCCAGACCTGCCTAGGAGGCCTGAACCCTCCTCATCATCTTTCCAAACACAGTGCTCTTCAGTTCCCACAAAGGACTTTGATTTTACTCAAGAGGGAGTAGCCTAGGGCCTTGTACTCAAAATGTGGTCCCTAAAGAAACAACATCTACAAGAACTTAGGAGCTAGGGAGAAAAGCAGAATCTTAGGCCCCACCCCAGATCTCCTGAATCAGAATCTACATTTCCATAAGATCCCCATTATGTCCAGTCATATATGAAAAGTACTGGCCCCAGGCAGCCAAACAGAATCCATTCATCTAAAATGTAACTTTAATAACAATACTTTCCATTTGTAATAATATCTGGTAATTGCTTTACATCACTAAATCCTCAGAGCAATTTGAATATGCCCATTTTACCAATAAGGAAACTGAGGCTCAGAGTAGTTGGGTATCTCGCTCAGGATCACATGGGCTTGAGGGGTCAGAGCCCAAATGTGAAGGCAGTTCTGATGGACTCACTCCCGTAACCACACACTACATGACACCCTGCCCTTTGCAAAATTCTGTCAACATTTAGCCTTCAAAAACAGCCCAAGCAGCTCTGGAGACTTCTCTGTCCCTTCAGGCAGCCACTGATCTGGTGATTATCTCTATTCTACCACTTGCTATCCACATCATGATGCCTCTACATACACTACTGTCCCCAAGGGATTGCCAGTTGTCTCTGTATAAAGATTTTACGGGCTTCCTCTATAATTACTGGATGAGTTCATTAAAATATTTCCCCTTTTGATCATCAAAGAACACTCTGAGGTTGGCTGGACAATTGTTATTAAATGAATGGTGAAAATATTGAGGTTCCTAGAGAAGTTTAGTGACTTGCCCCAGGTCACCAGGAGGCTTCAGAACTCTGGGGATGGAGCCAAACTCCCCTCCCCAATTCCCGGTACAGATGTCTTCTTCCCACTCTTTCACTTTCCCTAGATTTCTCTCTTCTGACCTACATTACCAAGCAGTTAACAAAAACATTCTTTTCAAAGAACTCCCCCACATATGCATCTTCAAAAGGGGCTCTGCTCCACCAGCAGACGGGCAAAATTTAGACATTATCAAGAGGCTACCAAAGGAAAAGGTGAGGAATCTCAGGATGCCAGATCAGGTACAATGAGCCTCCTGCATCCAAGGAAAGGAAAATGTCTTCAAGCAAGAGCCTCCAACAAAAGCAGCCCATCCAAGCCCCCACCCAGTAACCTCACCATCAGGACAAGTCCCCTCTGAGAGCCCCTGGAGGCTGGTGGAGACCTACCTACCCTCTCTGACCAGGCACCACCACCCTCCTGTAGGTTGCAGGATTGAGATTCCACGAGCCAAAGCAGCCCTTTTCCTCCCCTTTGTTGGCTTTAGAAAGAAACTAAGACTGGCTTGTCCAAAGAAAACCAAAACACCTGCCTGAAATATTAAAATATTTAGGGGAAAACTGGGGAAAAAAGAGGGTAAAATCCCTCTTTGGGGGATTTTTTTCTTGGGAAGAAAAGAGAAGCCAAGAAACGAGATCCGGGGACAACTAAGCAACTCTGTTTTTTGCTTTTCTGAGCACCATGCCACCATGACCGCTGAGTACTGTGGGCACTGCCAAAGATGCACTGATCAGGGGCCTAGAGGACACTGAACACCTGCCTGCCAATTCGTTGCCTGGGCATGGGGGTCCATCTGCCCAGAAGGGAACACCTTTTGTGAATTCATACAAAACATCCTACAGGTTAGCATGGGCTACCTATGACCAATATTAGTCATATTTGGATAACATAGGAAGGATAAAAACATTGACAGTGAGAAGGGTCCATGTTTTTGTCTGGATTCCTTAGAATCAGATCGTGAGATAAGAATTCCTATGAAAGTGTATTAGGAGGTATTCCTAGGAAAAAATGGTAGGGACGTGAAGAAGTAAAACAAGAAATAGCAAGCCAAGCAAGGGAAATAAGCCAAGCAAAGAACCATAGAGGTCAATTTGACACAACTCCACATTGGATCTCTGGAAACAAAGGATGTCATGCTTCAGAGTGTCCTGATCAAGGGCAAAGAAGCTGGACTATTTATACTCCAGCACCCATCAGTCATTGAAGAGGGGCTGCCCCAGGGGAGATGTAAATTCCCGGGGACTCCCTGTTTTGAGTTCCTACAAAAATAGGCTCTGCAGCCCAAGGATCATCCTCCAAAAAAGAGATGGAGGGACTGGCAATTGGAAGTGAAGGCACCCAGGGCACCAATGTGCACCAAGATGGCAAAGCTCACCATAAAAGAACATGACTCAAAAATCTTTCAAACCTAAATGGAAGGAGTTACAGAGCATCTTTCAGAAATCACTTTCTGTCCCTCTTTGTTCTTTCTCCAGTGAAGCAATTCAAATATTAAATTGAAATGCTTTTCTAAAGTTGGGCTGTGAGGCAAACCCAATACTCTTTTTCTTTTTCTTCCTGAGGGTCTTGCTTCTTGCTACTTTGTCCTAAGGATAAGCACAATGCTTGCCTGTTGCTCTAGATGCCTCATAGATTGAGATCATTAGCTCAAAATCAGCCCAACAGATCTCCTCTGTAAGCAGTAACACAGACACTTCACAGCTCCTAATACAATCATCAAAGTGCAGGGCCACCTAATTAATGCCAAAAGGTTTTATGACAGCCAATGATGAAGGTGGGACCCCGCTTCAATTTGACAGCTGTCATCTTGGACAATACATCAAGGAAAGGAAATGGAATCAACTAGGAGGGGGTGAGGTGGAGGAATGACCAATTGTCAGGAATGAATAACAACCGAGTTCCCTCCACAAGTTCTCACACACTTCTCCCCTCCCAGCAGGCAGATACTCTGAAAAGGTGTCCCCAGATGCCTCTGCCCAGCACTGGCACAGCCCTCTCCCTTCCATACCACACCTCGCCCCTAGAGCCAGACATGGAGAGGAGTGTAAATGTGGTCCTACATTTGAAATTAATTGATAGGATATTTCATGAGCTCAGATTTTTTAAATATTAATTCCCTAATGCTCTGCCTGCATCCTTTTTCCTAATCATCTTTGGTTCTTCTGTGTTTCTTTAGTTCTAAGGAGGGTCTTGTCATTTAGATGGGTCAGAGACCTCTAGAGAACTGGGTCCAACTCCAGCTCCGCAGCTATGGAGCCGTGTGACCCTGGGCAAGGCACGAGGTCTGTGGGACTCAGTTTTCTCATCTGAGAAATGGGGATAATTCCATTCTTTCCAGATTTGGGGAGAGGATGAAATAAGGTTAACTCTAGGTGAAGCGCTTGGCATGTTGAGTTGCACAATAAATGTCAGCTCCCTCCCTGCGCTTTCTCCCTTCTGCAGCCTCACCACACCTGCACCTTGAAAGACGCCCAGTGCGTTTCCCAGGAAGGGCCCCCCTGCTGGCGAAGGAAATAAAATCAGCTCCGGACAGCGTTATTCCCCCTAGCAAGCGAGTTTCAGGTGGTGTACACCGGCACGCGCGCGCGTTTACTCACGCGTACACACACATACGCGCACACACCGTCCTTCGTACACCCCCGGGGGGTCTGGCACTGCTGCTCCATCCCGCACGGAGCGGGGTCCAGAATCAGGGCGAACCAGTCCTCCCGCCTCCGCCAAGGTGGCGCCCAGTACGGGTCGGCGCCGGAGCGCACGGTACTCACCCGGGGCAGGCCGCGCCGGGCAAGCTGGGGCTGGCCGGGCTGGGGGCGGCGGCGGCTGCTGGGCTGGAGTAGCGGCGGGCATGGCGCGGCGGCGGGTCGGGGAGAGCCTGGAGCAGAGGTGGCAGCGCTGGGACGCGGCTCGACGGCTGAGCAGGCGCGGGAAGGCGGGGCGCAATGAGCAGCTACAAGCCCGCGCCGACTCTCCCTCTTCTCTCCCTCCCGCCGCCCGCCCGCCAGCACCGCGCAGCGCAGCGCCGGGCGACAGCCACCGGGAACGTCTCCGGGGGCGCGGGGCTTAGCAACCGCGCACCAGCCGCAGCCGCCCTCTCTGCGCCGGTCCCGCCGTGCGCGCCGCTCCTGTCTCTGGAGGCCGGGCGGGGCCGGGCTTTGAACTTGCTCCCACACCCCCCGCTTCTCCAGTGAGCGCCCAAAGGCGGTCCCCGGGGACACCTCAGCGGTCCCTCCTCTCCCCGCCCGCGGAGTCCAGCCTTTCTGCTCTCCTTCCCCGCGCAGTTCCGCCGTGGAACCGGGCTGCGCCGGGTTTTGAACTTGCGCTTTACCCCTGTTCTCTGTGGGTGGGTGGCAGCCCAAAGGCGACCCCAGGACCACCAGCCATCCTCGTGCCTCCTTGCAGTGCAAGGGCCAGACTTTCCACACCACTCCCTTTCTCCTATCCCATTCCCGCTACTTGCACACACTAACTCTAGGTCCCAGGGCAGTCCTACTCTAACACCCTTGTTGCCCCCCAAATTCGGAGACCTGCTTACACTCTGGTCCACACCCATGGTCTCAAAGACGTAGGTTGCAAAACGTTCCTCCAGCTAGTGGCTTCCTGGTACCATCTGAAGGCAGCTCGATGGCCCTTGGGTTGTTGTACCTCTTCCCAGCACCACACACTTGTTCCTCATATTTACAGGTCCCTCAGGTCTGCAGTGCGGGGTCTGGGGACCCATATTCCCAGGTACTGGCTCCCAGACCTCTCCTGCGAGAGAGCATGAATTCACTGGATCAGCCATACCCTTCTCTCCACAGGACCGTTGACATGATTACAGAGTGGTCTGGCTTTTACCTTGATCAATCAAGTCACAAAGTGGTCATGTCTGTTGGGTCTGATGTTGCTCTTCAATGAAATTGTTTATGCTCAACAGAACGCCAAGGCCGAGCTGATAGAACCAAACCAGCTCCCAGATGGCAGGGGCTGTCTTTCTCTTTATCACACATAACAAGAAGCCTAGAAGAAGACTCCTCTGAGTGTGTTCAGCTGCTCAGGGACGACGTTAAGGGCTCAGTTTCTTTCCAGGATTCCACATGGCCACCTTCAACATCTTGCCTTTTCTCCTCAGACTTGTTGCCTCAGGGTTCCAAAATGGCTGCGATAGCCCCATGATGCTGCTGTGCGAAAAATAACTCCTGGTTCTAGCTGGTTTGTTGGCCAGGTACTCTGAAGTCATCAACAAGGATCATTTTCAGCAATCCAGTTCACCAATGGTGAGCACAACAAATGCCCTGCCTTCAAGTCACTCACCTTCTAGTAGGGGGAGACAGATAATAAAATAAAAAAGTATGGTGATAAATAGTGTGAAGAAAACTGAACCAAAACAAAGGGAATGTGTTTACGTAAGTAGAGTGGTTGGGAAAGGTAACATTTGAGTAAAAACCCGAAGGAAGAACCTATTGGAAATCTCTCTGGGAGACAAGTGTCCTTGAGATGCCCACACACTTTCGTTTTAAAAGCACTTACTTTTCTCTTTAACAGCCACTCTTCCTGGCCCTATCATTTATGTTTTAGGAGAAAATAAAAGTTAAATAAACTGAGTTTTAACAAAAGGTTTAAGTTTTGTAAAGGAGAGATCAGATGATTTGTGTTTTCTTCCTTGCAAAAGCAGCAATCTCAGTGTTTAATTACTGACTGGATTATCACGATTTAAATATTAACTATATCTACACATATCAAGCAATCACAATAAACACCTTAAGTTATCAGATTACTTCACAAGAGTGAGGGATGCATCTTGTTGAATACTGGCGAAGAAATTGCTAATTGCCTACTCAACACCTATTTTCATTTCTGATCTAGTATTTTAAAAAAATTTTTTTAGCTAAGCATACTGCAACCTACAATTAAAAACAATACATTTTCTAGCCTCCCTTGCAGCAAGGAGTGGCCATTTGAAAAGTTTCTGGCCAATGAAATATAATTGCAAGTATTGTATTGGATTTTCAGTAGATGCCTTTACAAATGCTGATGTGGCTGACACATGCACTCCTTTGTCCCTTTTCCTTCATCCTGGTATCCAGATACAATGATGTGGTAGGTGAGATTATTAATTTCAATTGTTCACTCCATTCCTCAATTGAATTAGACAACCCATCCTTTATGGTACTTGGAGTGTGCTTCCCTGCACTTGATTTTAGGTTTGGCCATCTTTCTTTTTCTTTTCTTTCTGATTTGTTTTGTTTTGTTTTTAACTTTAAACAATTTTTTATTAGACAAAGATTGTCACATATTTGGATATTTCTCTACTTTGTACACAATTATTCTCACTCTCCACAGAAAGGCTGCTTAACTTCTCATCTGGTGGTGGCAAGCACTAAAATCCTGATTTGTAACAGAATAGTAGTAAAAATGCCTCAGTGATTTAAGTTGAAGGCAGTACATTCGTACGTGACTCTTGTACCCAGTATCAGGAATGTACAAATGTCTTTTTATTCAAAAATACAAAATAAAGTATCTGAAGGCATGGACGATGACAGCAGTAAACCATTATTTATTTTGTCAACTGAAACCAGCAACTGATGGTTATAATGATTTCTTAAACATCAGCCACCCTTTTCTTCATTTTCTCCAACTGACTTCTCTGAAGTTATTGGTGAGGAACATTGCCTTGGACTTCCTGTCCCAGTTTATTAATAAAGGTCAAGCACTATTCTAGGAGTTACAACATGCCGCCTCCCATACCACATCCCATTCCATCCATTGCACTCATTCCAGGGTCCTTCTCTTCTTTAGGGATTTCTGTGAGTTCAACTTCTGCTGTAGTTAACAGAGGCTACACCAGCAGTATCCAGTAAAGCAGTTCTCACAGCCTTTATTGGGTCAATAATTCCTTTTCCCACCATATTCACAAAATCTCTGACCATAGCATCACAACCAACTTCTGAGGAACGTTGCATAATTTTCTCAACTATCAGAGATCCTTCAACACCTGCATTCTTAGCAATGGTCATTGCTGGAATTTTGAGTGTTATTTTAATTGTTTATATACAAATTTTTTTATCTTCATGAGCTGCAGTCAATGAGTCCGAGGCTGGAATGCTCCAAACCAGGATACAACCCCCTCCCAAAACAATGTCTTCTTCAACAGCAGCTCTTACAGCATTAAGGGCATCTGTAACTCTGTCTTTCTTTTCATTCGCTTCAACATCACTTGTCCCACCAACATTTAGCATAGCTACTCCATCTGAAAATATTGCCAGTCGTTCAGTTTTTCCTTTTCATATTCACTAGTTGTGACATCTAACTGCTCGATGATTTCTTGAATATGTTTTTCAATTTGAGCCTTGTCACCTTTTCCTTTTAAGAGTATGGCATCATCTTTGGTCACAATGACCTCTCCAAATTTTCCTAAGTCATGAGGATGAACATCGTCAAGATTTAGGATCAACCCCTCTTCTCCAAACACTGCACCAACAGTAGCAATAGCCATATCTTTGAGCTGATTCTTTGTCACCAAACCCCGGAGCCTTGACTGCCACAACCTGAAAACCAATCTTTAGGCTGTTCAAGACAAGTGTACTTAGAGCTTCTCCACCAACATCTTCAGTGATTATGACCAAAGGTTTATGGTGAGCACTGGCAGTTTTAAGAGCAGGTACAATGGACTGGACACTAGAAATTTTCTTTTCACTCAACAGAACATATGCCTCCTGGAATTCACATTTCTGACCTTTTGATGTATTAATAAAGTATGGAGAAATATAGCTTTGATCAAACTTGAAACTTTCAATAATTTCTAATTCATCATTCGGTGTTTTCCCATCCTTTACTGTGATGACACCCTTTCTTCCCATCTTTTTCACTGCATCAGAGATGATATGGCCAATTTCTTTGTCTCCACTTGCAGAAATTGCAGCAGCCTGCACAATTTCTTCAGGGATGGTCACAGGTTTAGACTGCTTTTTAAGTTCAGCAATTACAGTATCAACAGCTAACATCACACCTCTCCTGATTTCCACTGGATTAACACCTTTGCTAATCTTCTCAAAGCCTTCCTTGACAATAGAGCATGCCAGTACAGCAGCAGTGGTAGTGCCATCCCCAGCCTCTTCATTTGTGTTTTTGGCAACATCTTGTACAAGTTTAGCCCCAATATTTTTATGTTTATTCTTTAAGTCAATTGACTTAGAAACAGTCACACCATCTTTTTTTACTCTGGGACTTCCCCAGCTCTGCTCAATAATCACTGTTCTTCCCTTTGGCCCCATTGTAATGGCTACAGCATCGGCTAAAAGGTCTATACCTTGAAGCATTAAGGCTTGGGCATCTGCACTGAATTTTACATCTTTGTCATAAGCCCGAGTGAGATGACAAGCCAATACCCTGGACACTGGTCTCATCTAAAGACTGTGGGGAACCAAAGCATTTCTGTGGGGTGGCAGCAAGGTGTGCCCGCAGCACCGCGAGGCAGGTCGGCGGCTGCAAGTGAGGCCTTATTTATTTATTTATTTATTTCAGACTTAGTTTCGCTCTTGTTGCCCAACCTGGAGTCCACATGGTATGATCTCGGCTCACTGCAACCTCCACCTCCCAGGTTCAAGCGATTCTCCTGCCTCAGCCTCCTGAGTAGCTGGGACTACAGGTGCATGCCACCACTCCTAGCTAAGTGGCCATCTTTCTTACTTTGGCCAATGGGACGTTATTGAACATAATGTGAACGGGGGTTGAAAAGTTTTTCCATGGTTTGGTTTGCCCAGATGGGCTTCTGCCAATAGCCTAGATAGCTGCTGATCCAAGATAAATGTGGAGAAATATGACGCAGACCTA